CGTGCTGTCAGCACCACATGGGGCTGACCCCGACTCGATGGCTGAGCCCCCCCTTCCTGTGAGTAAGGATGATGTCACAGGGGCAGAGAGCATCAAAAGTGTGCAAAGCCGGATGATGAGCACCCACCACCCCCACCACGGGCAGCAGCCGGGGACACAGCATGTCCTCCCGTTGGCACAGGAAACACAAGCTTCTCATCTCCAAAAGGCCGATTACACGAGAAGCAAGGCCCAGGTCCTGCACACAACTGTTCGCCGAAAGCAGGGCAGCCAATAGCCTGTTCCTCTCCATAGGGTGTTCTCAGAGCGCGTTGTAGGGGCAAGAAGGAACCAAGCCACAGCTGAAGGGTGACAGCCCACAGGATGACCTTGCAGGCAGAGGGAAGAGTGACTGGCACATGTACAACTTCCCCACCATCTCATACACGGAGGTTTTCAGTGGCCACAACCCTGCAGGCACTTCTAAGTGACCGGCAATGACCTATGCAGGTGCGCCCAGCAGGATTTACACCATGGAAGTGCTTTTTGGTTTGTGTAAAGGACAGCTAAGCTGTTCATGGCAGCAACAGGGTGCTGGGGTGCATCAACAAGGGCATCACCAGCAGGGATAAAGGAGCCATCATCCCACTCTGCTCAGTGCAGGTCAGGCCAACCCTGGAATCCTTTGTGCAGTTCTGGTTCCCGCTGTACAAAAAAGCTGTGGGGAGGCTGGAGGGGGTCCAGAGCAGGGCCACCATGGTGATCCAAGGCCTGGGAAGCCTCTCTCAGCCATATGGGGATGGGCTGAGAGAGCTGGGTTTGTCCAGCCTGGAGCAAAGGAGGCTCAGAGGGGCTCTCATCACCACGTACCTGTACTTAAAGGGTGGCTACAAGGAAGATGGAGACTCCCTTTTCACAAGCCTGGCACATCAGTGCAAGCACGTTTAATTCCACTTCCACAGCAGCACACCGTGGAGACACCCACATTGGCCTTAAACAGACTCCAGTACTGGACAGCCTGCGTTCACCAAGCTGCGCACGCGGGCTTTGTCTCTTACCAGCCAGCCTAGCGCCTTACCCCAAGGAGAAATCTCCTACTTGGGAATTACCAGGATTGCGCTTGCCCATCTCGCTGCTGAACAACATCCTGATTGCCCCTTCAGGATTTTGTGACAACCGCTTAGAGGCTCACCCTGCTAGAGTCATCATCTTTCTAGTCATCATCTTTCTAGATTGTAAGCGAGCTAAACCCCACACTGATACGTCAAACCTTTTTTCAGTTAAAGACCCCCCCCCCACCACTATTTCATTACCAGATAGTTTCATTCCAGTAAGGCTCTTTATATAAGTTACATATTTATTTTAATAAAAAGAAATAAATACTTCTCTTTTCACATTAGATAACTCCCTGGGGACAGAAAAAAAAAACCCAAACAAAGGAACCCCAATGACAGGGACTTCGCTGTGGATGTTACAAATCAAAAGATGGCAAATGCGTTCTTCCTATGGTCATCACAAATCCAGTTTTAGGAATCAAGTAGGTTGTAGGTATTCCAGAAACAGAAAACTCTCCTTGAGGAAACAGCAGCTGAGCATGTTGTCCTTGGGAAGATAAGTTCAGGTAACACAAGTGTTACAGCCACCACCACTGATGAGTGTCCCATTTGCCTGTAAGGTGGCCAAGTGCGCTGCGAGGTACGAGCATCCGACTCAGCGATGGAGGTTCACAGCATTTGTTTTCACACATTCCCTCAGTGAGATTGCAGCAATCTTTCTGGCTTGCACTTAAGGTGCGTTAGCTAATTTCAAAGAGAGTTACTGTCTCCAAACTCGGGGGGGGGGGATGGGAAAGAAAACTTAACCGCTACTTCATAGCCTAAAGAGGAAAATTTGTGTGCCTGCTGCCTTTTCAAATAAAGTATTAGAAAAGTAACTAAAATAAGAGTTAGTCACCCGAAGGTGATCACAGTGTTACTCTAGTAGTGCATGTCTCACAGCAGCTGCTGATGAATTATTTCCCACACCATCTTCTTGCGGAAGTAAGGCATGTCATTCTGAAAAGAAAGAAAAACCTCTTAAGTGCGAAGTCATGGCAGAAAGAGGCAGAAAATACGCGTAAACTCCTGGTTAATTCTGTAATATGAAGTTCCTTTTAAGAATGGTCAACTCTTGCCATTTGGGTACAACAGTGGTTTCTCCCATGCGGCTCCTAAGAGGGTGACACAACAACCCAACAAAACCAGATTGACTTGACTACACAACAGCGTACAAGCACTTAAATGAAAGATGACTGCCTTGGAAAACAAACAGTGTCTTAACTGGTCAAAGGGTGAAACCCTTTCCTCCAAAAGGTACAGAGGTCAGATAGCACAAACCTGCAGTATCCTGCCCAAGAGGAACCTCACTGCTTCCACTAGGAAGCAGATACCGGACGTCAGGATGGAGAAAACAGCTCTGCTCTGCTGAGGCCACTTTGAAGTTCCAACCCCAGCAACCACACACCAAAACCAGATAGAGTACAGAACCTCAGCCCTGGACACAATTACCAGCTGCTGCGTAACTTCCCTGGCTCTTGTACCTGTGAAGAAGTCTGGAGCCGTTTATAGCCTTCGCTCACCTGTGTAAAGGTTAATGGTTTGTCTCTGGAGATATGATCTGCATATTTGCACATAAAAACTCCGCAGTCGCTTCCATTTGTTTGCTGAGGGATTTCCTAATGAATGCAAAGAAGATGGAGAATTTTCCTCTATCTTAAAAGAGAAGCAGTTTGGAAGGAGCACACATTACCCACACTAACCAGCCACACGTGAGCCTACTTGCATAACCCATTTACCACTCCCAAACACAAGGAACAGACCCGATTAACCGCACACCGTCCCTCCCCTCTGCTTCCTTCACTCGGATGTTACAGTCCAAATTCTTCGCAGGCTGATATGGGATAGCGAGGCATCCTCCCTGCGAGGTGTCTCGAGGTTTGCAGTGTCGTTTTGCTTAAATTAAGTCTTTAGATACTGCTTTTTACTATTAACTGGCTGAGAAACAGCAGCTCAGCCCTTTGCTTTGTGCTCCAAACAAGCAGCCAATGTTCTCTGACGACAGCCTAACAGATTTTTAAGGTTGACTTGTGAAATGGGGGCAAAGCCAGATTCACCTTAATGTGGTAGACTTTAAAAAGAGTATTCAGCCAGCAAGGAGAGATGCTGCTTAAAGAGTTCATCCCAGCATGGCTTCCTGGTCCACTTGCAGCCTGGTGTGGTACCATAAGAACATGAGATGCTTAGGGCCATTCTCTAAAGGCTCAAATTTATTAGAAAGTGTTAAGACCTTTGTGAGGAGAAATTATAGTTCCCATTTCAAACCCAAACAGTGCTCACATACATGCGGCTCCATGCTGTGAAGAGTCCACTCCGAAATAGCCAGCTCCACATTTCTTTTTTCCTGACTTTCTTCTTGCAGGTATCGGCTGTTTAAAGCAAAACAAAAATCACTCTTCATCTCCAGAACTTAGGCCAACAAAAAGAAGAGCTGCTGGAGGATCACAGAAAGATGAATGGCAGGACAGTAAAATGTCAGAGGATCCTCACAGCAGCTGATGTAAGGCATTTGGAGGAAAAATCCAAATCTTAAATTTACAAACACGGTGAGAGGTGGCGAGCTGATGGTCAGGAATTAGACCAACTGGTCGGAATGAGACCAACAATTCCAACAGAGACTTCCACAAAAGCATAAGCTCATTGCTTTGTAGAGGTCAAAAAAATCCCCAATCACACGTTATCAGAGGAGGAACAGAAAAACCAAGCAAGGAACAATAATGCTGCAATTCTACCGTGTGCTTTAATCCCACTTACTGGGTGCACCTCTGGAAGAACAAAACCAAAAGCATTTGGGCCAATACCTCCAGCTGAGGAAGTTCCCAGGCCACCAGCTGCTAGAAGAACGCTCTTGAGGAAAAAAAAATATCCAGTGCAGACCTGTTCTTACACCCTTTCCCAGGCATCTGCTGTTAACTGGTCAGGAGAGCACTGGACTAAAGTAACACTTGGTTTGTCTCTGTGGGGCTGCTCTTTCTCTACAAAGCTGTTGGATTAAGGGGTTTTACTACTCCTGCATCAGTGGCAAAGATGTCTAAGGATGCTGGCTTGCACAACATGAGAAACCATACCAGTTACACTGGAGATGTACACCGTGACAACTGATACATCTGGAAAAGCTTGCTATGAGACATCTGTCTTGAACGAGGATATCAGAAATACAAATAACACCCAGTAAGGACACAAGGGTGGCCTGCTGGGGTAAGCTGGAGGGAAGTATGGTGGCTTTGTTTAAAACACTGAACAGAAGAGAAGAGGTGCAGGCAAACTGAGAAGGAGCATGTTACAGAGCTCACTACAGCAGAAAGGATGAGCATGGCAAGTGGGGGGGAAAAAAACCATCTCAATACAAGAAAAGGATAAAAGAGTTACGCAATAAAGAGTAAAAGTGTACGTGTAGCTGATCACAGATAGGAGCGTGTATACCTTAGGACACCAACGTTCCTGAGCTACAATCTGAAAGTTCTTAAAGAAGGGGGCATTAAAAATCTCTTGGAAGGCTGCAATCCTTCTACAGTCAGGTTTGTATTTTGAAACGCTTCCCTGAAATTCTTCCCTCTCGTCGACAGCCCAGTTTTATTCATTACTGACAAAATCAGTACATGTGTGCCATGGGGCTGTCAGGTATTTGCCAGTAACACTTTGCCTATGCATATAGCAGGAAGGTGGCAGAATCCAGGCATCCAAGATCCCGGGTGGAAGGGATGATGTCAGACTAGCTAAGTAGCCACTGTCATACAACTCTCAGAAAGCGAATCAAAGATTTCTGTTTTGTATCTACAAGAAATGTGAAAACTTGCAGTTGTGTTACAGGGAGAAAATCCAAAAGCCTTCTTATAATTCACAACATAAAAGCATTGACTGAGCAGTTACTTACAACAGAGTTTCACAAATCTTCTGCCCTTTTTGTCCCATTGAGTCAAAGTATTTGATAGTCTTCTTTCTGACATCGATGACCTGTTATTAAAAGGTGACTGTGAGACAAAGCACAACCTGATGCTGCACACACACCAAAACCTAAGCAACTTTTCCTGCTAGTTTTGTCCTCCCCATCCAAGTCTAAAAGAAAAGCTGCTTTGACTCACCGCTAGCGCCCAGTGCACTCTCAAGTGAATAGGCACTAAGATGAGGTCCTGCTTGAAGAGATCCACACTTCTGGTCCATCTTCGTACTGCTCTGTAGCCCCCAGAAATGAGTTTGGGATAAAAGAAAGTACTAAAGGCATGGACTGCTGGATATCCTTCCTTCTTATTTCTTTCCATCAGAAGACTCATGTAGAAATTAATGACCTGTACCATAAAGAGTAAGCTTGAGATGTACGATAAGACACCAGCTTACCAAATGAAAAAAATACAGCAACGTGTCTTTGCTGGCCACCCTTAACCATGCAGCTGTGAGAACTCCAGCCTCGGCTGTCAGCTTTCGCTCTGAGAATTTTGCACTTGGTTACTTCTGCAGGCTCACAAAATCACCCACCCCCCACTCCAGTGAGCTAGACTAACTCCTGGAACTGCATAATACAAGAAGTAAAGTAACTTCCAGAAACATTAGTACCTTAAGTACCTAAAATAAGAACTGTACAGCTATTTCTAGGCTCTGCAGTGGAGGTCATCAAATAACTTTGAAAATACTTCCATACACAGTGAAGGGGTATTTGTAAATAAACGCTGAATTAGACTATCACTGTGCTGCAGCTAGTTTTACCTCATCGTTTAGCCAGCGAAGGTTCTGTAGTGTTTGGATGTCCTCACGAGTGACCTTTAGTTTGAAGGCACTGCTCATGATCTCATCTGGCTCACCTTCGCCAAATGCGGCAACGACCTCCTTCTCCATGGCCTGAAATGAACAATTAAATGGGGAAGGACTTAGGAAACAAAGCATTGAGCACGTTAACCTGCGGGCAGCTTTCAACTGAAACAAGACCCGTAAATTAAGCTCAGGTGACAGAGCAACTGGCTTTGCCTGTTTTTTGCTAAGTTAGCAAGAGCACTTTTTTGTTTCTTTGCTTCAGCATCCTAACTTTGAGCTCCAGAACCCAGATTTGCTTCGATTTCTTTTCATAAAGGAAGCCTACATAAAACACATGGACAGCAGACACACTCAAGTAGCTGAAAAATGAACAGCAGTGCAGCAAAAACGCCTTTCCCACGCGACGCTGCAGCCCTCGCAATACCAAAGGTTTAAGCCAACCACTACGTAGGCATTCTCCATACCAAGACAGCCAAGTCAGGAGACTGAAAGAATCTGAAGGTGGGGGACTTCAGAGGGAACTGAGGTAACAGCAAAGGGGGAAACTGAGGCAGCTACACTGGAGTCGGGCAATCAGGAGTCCAGGTTGTGCATGCAACTGGTTGTAATATGGATGTTTCTGTCGTAAGTCTGCTTAAGGAATGGAAACAAACCACTAGGTCTGTTAGTATAAAACACACTGATCTGTAACAGCATCTCCTTCTTGGTTGAATCTGGGCTAGCAAAACAAGAAAACCACTTGGTTTTCCTTGTACTGAGCATCACTCTGCAGACTTTGCAAACTCTGGATTTGTTAGCCCTTTCCAAGTCAATCCTTGACAGGCAAAAAAGGAGGTGCTCAATTATATCAGCACGACTGCAACTCTGAAGAATAAAAGCAGACAGAATTCATACAAGTCGAGGAACCTGAACTCCCACTCCTGTCGAATAGCGTAGCTAGGTTAACTCCTGTGGCCACTGTTAGGTGCAGTGCAAGCATGCCCAGTGCGCACACATGACTCTGCGAGACCTGAGGACATACACAGGATGGTCCCCCACAAGCAATGCAACACTATGGATCAGCAAAAGCGTATTTTTCAGGTTCCATCACCATAGTAGGACAGGTTAAGAGGCAGAGCCAATGTAACTGAAGGAATCAGGTTAGCACTGCTCTGGGAGACAGTTGTTAAACCTGAACTAATTTTTGCCCTGGTAGCAGAAGCCCCACAAACCCTTAGGTTGGCACAGCTGAAGGAGTGTGTGAAACATATTAAATCCGTAAAACCAGCTTTACTGCTGAGCCTTGCACTGTGAAGTCACAGCTGCAGACACTTGGCAACAGGTTAAACTCAAGTTCTTCAGATTTCAGAAAGCCTTAAGAACCACTTATAATAAATCCTTGCCACTGTTTCACAGCCTTCTGTTTTGTCTAACAGTCTGTCAGCCACAGTACCTCTGTGAGTGGAGAAAAGTGTTCTACTGTTTTTTCTGAGCTTGGGGATTTCTTTTCTTCCACACCAGGGGCAGAAGACTTTCTTGGTACAACAGGTGCCAGATGTAATTGGAATGACATCCCTTCTGGGATTTCAGCTCCATACTGTCTCTGTGAGACAAAAGGACATGAAGTTAGCAAGCAAGCACAGATTTGTTTGCTAGGAGATAGTGCAAGAAATCTTGCTCGTGTACAAAACTGGAAGGGTTTCTGTACACAGGTCCAACCAGCAAACTCCAAAGTTACTTTTTACTGATGGCTGCATTCCAACTGTGCACCCATGTAATGCTGCACTCAAAACTAAGTGGAGGCAAGAGAGGCAGAAAGTTAGTTTGGCTTGGACTAGCATTAAGAACCCCAGGAAAGCCTCCACATGTAAGTATCAAGTCGAGATTTAAATTAATATTTCTGATTTCCATGATTAAAACTTTCTTTTTGATCTCAATCCTGACCAGAGATGAAAGTCAAAGAGATGTACATCCCATCTCACAAAACAAGAGAAGACTAAAGATGCCGCAGTCCAGCTTTGCTGGTCAGCTAAGCCTGTACACTAAAGACTTTGAAGGTACACCCATACATTAAAGGGGAAGAATAAAAATAGTCCAGCATCGTGTGCTCGTAATAGCCCAGAAACAAAATTAATCGCAGCAGGAAACCCTCTGTGATAGCGCTACCCATCAAATAATGCTCTGCTTTCCCTGGGAAAAACAATTGGGACATATATATTGTCGAGTAAGTAATGTATTTAAGCGACGAGCGCAAAGATTTCTGATCACAAATAGCGATATTTTCCTAAAAAGGGGAGTAATGAGTAACACTAGCTTACCCCTGCAGCAGCTTGCTTCACTGGCCTTCCCTGTTCATGAGAGGTTTCTGCTGGTGTGTAGTACCTGCAAGGAGAGGGAGAGAGAACGGGAGAGGGAGGGGTGAGCTGTATATGCGTACGGTCCCATGTAAGCCTCAAGAATTCACCTTCTGGATGAGAAATGCTTTTTCAAGGCTGACTCTGACTAGAGCCTTGGTTGCATGCGTCGACATGTGACATCGTCTCAGCTTCCAGCACCATTCTTTCGTAGCAGCAAGACTGAGATAGAATGAAGAGCTGGAAGAAAGTTTGCAAAGCTCCCATCTACATGTGTAAGACTCCTTGTGTTTCTCTTTACCACTTTCATTATTTGGAAAACAGGGAAGCCTCCAGCATTTCCTCTACCAAGTGCTTCGAAATCTACTGGTGATAAATATTGCAAGCTAGGTGTTATACTGCAAGGTATAACACAAACATCTGCAACTACACTCGCATCCAAATATAGTTAGCTTACGGAAACTAAGACCAGCACATTGAATTAAAAATGGGACAGCTACAGGACGTTTACTTGCTTTCTCTAGGCTCGTCAAGAGAGTGACTATCGCCATTTGGAGAGGATTATTGTTAAAACCACACAGTCTCTGAAGAGCAAACAAATATACAGACATTAAAGTTGTCCCTTCTTCTAAAACAAGAATTGGCATTGTCCCCAAAGATCCCCTTTTTCAGGAGGGAGACCACAACAGACTCTCACAGTATCCTACACTCGCTGTGCTTTAAAGGCACAATGGTAAGAGTAGCCATCATAAGCCTTGTCAAATGACTTCAGTTTGTAGCTAAATCTGCAAAAAAAGCAAGAAAATGTTTATTTGAACCTGTCATACATCAGTTATTTTATTTCCTTTTCTCCCCTCGAGCTTAGGGGAACCAGTGACAATTTAAGCATGGGAACAGTGCTGCACAGCTATATATAGCACTAGTGTTTAAAGTGGGGACAGAGTTAGCTAAAAAACAGGACTGCCACAACTGAATCTCTCTCTGGCTCCCATCTGTGCTTTATCCTCATTTGAGGGCAGGTCACTGCAGAAAGATGCGTGCACTAGAGTGCCACACAAAATCTCTCCCTGTAGCTGCTCTTACTGCAATCAAAAACCTGTTTCCCTCAACGACTCAAAGCCATCTGAACTCATAGTCCTGCCAGCTCAGCCAGCCAATACAAACAAGTCCACCGGCCTCCCAAACAGGCAAAAAACCCAACTGCACTCTTCCTTTTCAGTCTTGTATTCAAACCCAAGGCATCCTCTAAGTCACAAAAGCTGCCTCAGTCCCACGAGGCCTTACAAGCTCTCTAATCCTTATGCTTAGGATCCTAGCTTCAAAGCGAAAGAAATGAAATGTCAGCTCATGAATGGCTTGGCAGAAAGACACTCGCAAGCAAAAAGGGATTCTGCAAATCCAAGGACAACTTGGTACGGCCACCACTCTCACCCTCGCTGGCTTTCTTTCCCCAAGCAAAGGGCCCAGCAAACCCCACACCAGCACAATCCTGTTCATCACATGGCACAGCTCTAGCATGGGAGCTGTGTTTGAGAGGCAACTGGCTTGCGAGCAATGCCAGAGCCACAAGCTAGCTACTCCTCTTCTGCAGCACTGAGACGGTAAGTATGATTTGTCTTCTTCTGGACACTACTGGAGGCTGAAGGAGACATGCAAACAGAGCCAAAAGAAACAAGAACCATAAAAGAGACTCTACCTGATCATATCACCTCTCTGAGACCACGGTGGGCTGCAGACATCCACACATCTGATACCTGCACAGAAAAGCAGTAATGACAAGAAGTCAACTTGCAATTACCATCAATCAGATGTACATAGCTCTCACTTTCCAGGTGATAAATTAAAAAAAAAAAACCTTTTTAATGACAACTGTGTGGTTAGGAAGTTCAAACTCTGGCAAACAATTTGAACTTTGAATATCACGGGAGAGTGTGTGAGAGCTGAAGCAGGGCATTTCTTAAGTTTTAAATCCTAGACTGCACACTTGACTAAATGAGTGATTTTTGCAAACCCAGATGCTCCTCCAGGCTCAGAAGAATAGCTCATAGTTTTCCACGACAAAATAAGCTTTTCCCAAATGCTCAGAATTAATTTAAACCCCACATGATTGCATAATCAAGTCACAGATAAATAATTTTTCATCAGTACTTCTTTTGATGTGAGTAATGAACAGGGAAAGAAGGACTGGACAATATTAAATGTATACACACGAACACGTGGTATCATAACACACCGCTGGTACAGAAGAGAACAGCTTGTCAGCAAACCAGCTTAACTACCTACCCACTCTGCAGAAACAACTAAGGTCACCTTCAGCAGTTATATATCTTCAACTCGCTAAAGATGATCTACAAAAGAAACTTAACTTGATATCAAGAGTGGTACTGGGCAGTTAGCTACTTGGTTTCAGAGCTCTGTTATTATAGAAATAGTAATATATAGCATTAAAAAGGGATTAAAGAGTAACACGCGATCACAACTCTGAGTTAAGCAAGGGGAATCTAAGGGTGCACAGTAGTGTATCACTCTCCACCAGTACAGACAGTTAGGTCTGCAGCTGCAGACACCACTGGTACAGTTCTGTCTCTCCAGTACAATTTTAAACAAACTGTCACTTCAACAAAAACCTTACAAATCCAGCTATAGTTTTAGGAACGTGAAATTAGCTATGCTTTGGGGAAGGTGTTCCCCCTTCTTTTTTCTCCCCCCTTTCTCTCCAGAGAGAGCTCATTTCATTCTAAGAGCTGACGTAAATTAGCCAGCATAAACACGCTGGCTGATTTAGATTTCCTTATAGACACAGATTAATGATATACTAGCACGGACAAATCTTTTTCGCATAATCTCTACCTTTGAGACCTTAAAGAAATGCCCTATTTTGATTTGAAGTCTACCTACAAAGAACAGATATGAATCACAGGGATACTCACCAGTTTTTAGTGTCATACATGGATAGACATCTCCGTATTTTTGTTCTCCCAGGGGACTCACAGTCATCATCGGTTCCTTGGAGTAGGCCTGAACACTTTGGCGCAGCAAAAGATAACAGAGAAGAATCACAGTTTTTATATGCATGGCACTTGTTATCAGTGCATCCCAATTCACTAGAAACGATGCAGTTTATTTGTACACAACTGTCTACATTAGAGTTGGAAGCCATAATTAAAGCAACAGCAATATGTAAAGTAAAATTAGGCTATTGAATCCCTTGACAGAAACATCCCGTCCCCTGCACTCGGTTCATGACAAAATGCAAAGGGCATTTCCATAAGGAGGCAGTTTACATTCAGAAGCTTGGCTACTTTCAACTCGGGCATCCTGAAGATACAGGAATTGAGTTTTTCCATCTCCAGAATTTCAAAAGAGACTAATCAATCAGGAAATTTGATTCCCTTACCTTTTCATCAGCAAGTCGGTGGCTTTTTTGTTCGTTTTTTTTTTTTTTCTTTAAAAAGTATTCCTAGAATCATTTGGTTGGAAAAGACCTTCAAGATCATCAAGTCCAACCGTACCTGTCCATCACTAAACCCTGTCCCCAGGCACCTCATCTGCCTGGCTTTCAAATACCCCCAGGGATGGGGACCCCTTCCCTGGGCAGCCCCTTCCAGTGCTTGACAGCCTTTTGGGGGAAGAAATTCTTACTAATGTCCAACCCAAACCTGCCCTGGCACAACTTTTTTCTTTGCACATCCTACAAATATCCGGATTAATCTGTGGAGACCATTTTACTCTATGGGACAAGACAGGATTCATTACAACCACCCTTGACCACTTCTTTTCAAGCTATTTATTGAAGATTATGCTGACACTAAGAACGCAACGTCCACAACATACATACTTCTGGGACATTTTACTCCAGACCTGCTCTGCTCTGACCTCTGAGCTACATGCTCATTAGCAGCTGGAGTGCATTAGACACATTCCACAGGGACACTCTCTGGTTTAGCTTCATCTGAAAGGAGGTACGAGCCGAACCACAATAACCAACGACTGGGAGATCAGATGCTGAAAGCAGAGTCTTGACCCACCCTAAAATGCTATTGCCACTGCACCGAAAATTACATGAGATGCTCTTTTCCATATCGTTTTCTTGCACCAGAATATTTAAACATGATAACGCTGTTCTGAAGTCACACGTTTACGTGTTTTCTAGCCATAAACCACTGAGTGGAGATTGGGATTTTTTCAAGCCTTGGTGACAACCCATGCTTCAGAGCATTTGAGGGAAACTGCAAGAAAGTATGGCATTTTCTACCATCTGACTATGTAGAAAGGCGTGCTGGAACTTCAGCACCATCTTAGCGTCAGTATTTGACAATAATTAGGCCCCTTCTGGACAGCTTTCAAGTGTAACTATTCCACTAAGATAATGGCTTCTATTACTTTTGTGGTTTTTACCTGTGTAGTTAACTTCGTGCAATCTCTTGACACAGTTATAAGGTACCAAATATATTAATCGCTGGTAATACACGAGTCAGAATTACACACAAGTTCCCCTTCGCAAGGTGCTTTAGGAACTGGTATTCTACACACAAGTGGGATTTTGTCAATTTAGCAGACTGCAAAGAGAAAACTTGCTATAATTTGTGCGAGAAGGACTGGGGGAGGTGGCAAGGAGCAGAGAAAATTCTGGTGTTCCCTGTGTTTACCTTAAGGTTTGCATTCTCAGATAACACAGGATTCCTGACCAAAGAAAAACTCATCAATTGCAAACAAGAGGAAGGTAAATTCTTTTAAATGGTGCTACAGAAGAACCAGTGCTGTCAATTTTTATACCAGAAATTACACTGCCAGCACTAGAATGAGATGCTACCTTTCTTAACCCAATGACAAGCAAGGAGTATCAGAGAGAGAAATACATCCATATCAGAAAAGGAATTGTCACCTTTAGAATATACATTCAGAGAGCAAGCATGCGTCATTGCAGGGAGCTGAAGAGGGGTGTCAGTCTTTTAAAAATTAGTTTGCCCCAACACCTGCCCTGGGACACTGCCCAGAACCCTGAGAGTAGGAAAGATTAAATCCCCTCTGTGCACTTACAGCTACAAAGTTACCACCAAAAAGTTAATGGTTATTTTTCATATAATTACTTGTAGAAGCTTGTCGGCTGTGGATTAGGGCGGCTTCTGGGATATTTTTCCTTTACCAGTTCCAAGAGCTGTTTGTATTTCTCCTTTTCTCCTCGCTTAACATCCTAGCAGAACAGAGAGAGAAACCAAACTCATTAGAACCACTGCACATGAAGCAAACATTTGTAATCTGGATATAGCACAGACTGCACAGGCTGTTCCCAAAATACTGCCACGTTATTCAAGTTTACTTGAGCAGGAATTCCCACACCTTCATTTTGTGTTAGCCCTGCTTTAGGAACTTGTGTCCCGCTATAAAGCTCAGAATTTCTTTTGTAACCGTTTCCTCAAATGGGGGCCCATCCTCTGCAGCTGTGGTCTGCACCTCCTGCATAATAATTCAGGCTAATATGCATTCTTGTCAATATACGTAACGACCGGGTGCTCTGAGTCCCCAGGGTATCTTAATCATACGCCACAGCTTACCATGGCCTGCTTCTCCAGTACTTCGGTGTTAAGTTCTTCTCCCATGTAAACTAGGTTTACCAGGAATTTTCCAAAAGTTGCTTCAGAAATTGGAAGGAAAGGACAGGGGGAAACCAGTGGGGGTTTTTTGTCTACATTATCCTTTTAAAGCTGCTGTGTCAAGATCATAGTTGAGCTAGGCTAAGGACAAAATAGTGAAATAACCCTGCAACAAATACACACCTTCGTGACAAGGCAGTACAGATCCTCTTACAAGTGAAACTGTCTGAAGGGTCCTCCCCCAGTACACCATTTCCATGAAAATGGCTTAAAATTCAATCTTTTGGCAAGAAAGCACTGCTCTGTTCCAAGACTTGATGCACGTAAAGGCAAATAAACCGCTGCACACTGCTTTCCCAGCAGCATTCCTTCACTTCATTAACTACACCCATTTATGCTGTTACAAACTGCCACTTTGGCGTTTGCATACAGGTTGGTTATAACTGCTAAGCTGTTTCATTTCAGAAAACACCTTTCTCACCCAGCGTACCTCTTCAGCAGTACAGAACAGCCTCCCCATTTTGCCAACTTCTGAAGTCGTGGATTCTGGCACACTGCGCTCCTTAATAGGTGGCCTCAGTGTTAAGATGCCATCTGGAGCAGGTTTGATGTGGCATTTGGTGTTCCTGCTCGTGCTAAAAACATCAACAGCAAAAAAAAATATCAAGAGAACATTCAAAATATGCCCCTCCTGATTCAAGCTCCCCCACCAACTATTTTGTAAAGCATGTACACTGATGATGATGATGGAGACAGACACAAGATGTTTACGACTTTCAGATGAAGACCTGCTGTCTTCAACTGGCTAATAGGAAAGTACGGAGAAGCAGAAGTGAAAATCAGAATGACCGCCTTGATTATACACTGCTGTTCGAGCTGCACATCACAGCTGCTCTCAGAGGGACATGTTATGTCCACAGCAGCCCAAGCCCTGAGTCAATACAGAAGCCTGAAGAACCAGAATTCCTCACAGAATTGTTCTGGCAGAGATCTCTGCAGATCACCTGGTGCAAACCCCTGCTCAAGCAGGGTCACCCACAGCAGGTTGCCCAGGATCGCATCCAGTTGAGTTTTCAAACCTCTCCAAGGATGGAGGCTCCACAACCTCTCTAGGCAACCTGTGCCAGTATCTGACCACCCTCAGAGTAAAAAAGCGTTTCCTGATGTTCAGATGGAATTTTCTGGTTTTCAGTTTGTGCCCATTGCCTCTTGTCCTGCCAGTGGGCACCATTGAGAAGAGTCTGGCTCCCTCCGCTTCATTCCCTCCCTTCAGATGTTTATACACATTTAGATCCCTCTGAGCCTTCTCTTGTCCAGGCTGAACAGTCCCATCTCACTGGAACACACTCAGCCTCTCCTTGTATGAAAGATGCTTCACTCCCTTAAGCATCTCCAGGGCTCTTCGCTGGACTTGCTCCAGTAGGTCCACATCTTCCTTGTGCGGGGGAGCCCAGCACTGGATATAGCACTCCAGAGGTGGTGTGAGTAGAACGAAGGATGTGACCTCCCTCGACCAGCTGGCAACGCTATTCCTAATGCAGCCCAGGGTGCTGTTGGCCTTTGCCATGAGGATGTATCACCGGTTCATGGTCAGCTTCTTGTCCAGTGATGGCCCCAGTACTGATCCCTGGGCTACACCACTACTGACTGGCCTCCTAGTGGACTTTGTACCTGTGTTACCGCAGCACCTCTCAGCTGGGGTACACGTATCAATCCCATTTTGAGATTGGAAGGCAAACAGTAGCATCAAATCACACCATGGCCCATTCCCCTCCTTCTTCCAGTTACGTCTGATGCTGAGGTAAGTATACAAACAGTGCCGCAGCATCCCCCAAACAAGAATTCAAAACAAATGCAATGTAAAGGCTAGTCCTTTTATCAAATCGGGAACTACTTTATGCCAACATCATGGAGGTTTTCCTGAGAGAAGGTTGTTGGGGGTTTTGGTTTTTTTGTTTGTTTGAGTTTTTTTAAAACAACTTATTTTGTCCTGTCAACTATTTAGGACCTTTTCACAAGCATTCCTGGTCTCAGCCTCTTCTCAAGCTCAACACTTCCTCCTGCCACAGACCTTTAATCTTTATCTGATCTCCTGTGTCTATGAAATATCTGGATTTAAAGAAAAAGTTTAAAATTGGTTGGGGGTGGAAAAAGAGCAGCTGGAGACCTCCCTTAGTATAGCAGCCCGGAGGAGTTCCAGAATAGCTCGGAAAAATATTGCTATGTGGACACAAATCCAAATGTTGGACAACACAGAGAAAGTGGAAGGAAGAGAGCGAAAGACACCAAACCTTTCAGAGAAGTCATCAAAGAAAATGAAAGGATTTTTACCTCAGACATGGAATTGTCTTGTGAGAAAGGGATAGTGTTTCCTTACTCAGGCAAGTATTGGTTCCACAAGGCATTTTATCTACGAGAGAAGAGCATAAGCCATCAGTAACTATAAAAGGAAACTGAGGAGTTTTAGGAGTTGACCGTAAACCGCCTCATCAAAGATAAATTACTTCAATTTTCTCTCTTACGTCATACTATTATTATTTGTATTATGTTACTTCAGGATATTTTCAGATTTTCATGTTGGCAACTACAGAAAGTTGTGCACACAAGGTATTGACAGCCTAAACCTGAAATGAAAAAAAGGGTTATCAGGATCTACCACCTCAAATTAGCGTTTAAAATAATTTGCTTCTGGCAAGCTAACAGTGGACAGATCAGAACTGAAGGACTGCATCCGAGGCAGCTCTTGCACTGCGATGACAAGATCAACGCTCTGCCCCGATCCAGAAGCAACACAAGGATGCAGGGAAGAAACAGAGTTCACATTCAAGTATTCCTAGATGCTACCTGGATATTGTGCCCACAATAATCCATACATAAGCCTATGGGTAGAGCTGCACAGTACACGAGATAGGGTGAAAAAGAAACAAGTTAATAACTTGACGTCAGCCTTACCAATTTGTAGCATTTCTGTTTCTATTGCAGAACCTGTCGGTCTTTCAGATGAAAGGTCAAAAGAAGTGGACTGAGTCTTAAAGAAAAACAAAAGAAGTGCCAACATGAGTACAACCTGAATGTGAATCCAAGCAAACATAAACTTCCTGAAATTTAGTCAGCTCTGTTACAACTTGGGGATCATGATTTGCTGGTTCAGGTTGTAGCAGAGTGCAAATCTTTGCAGGATCTCTGACAAGTACACTGGAATTTTTTGATACAAGTTCTCATACATGCAGGGATTAAAACAACTCAAGCTTGTCACTGAGTTCTCCTCAGTCAGTTCCTAAACATTCCAAAGTGTTATAGTTTAGCCCTTGAAAAATATATTTTATACAAGTAAGAGTTAATGACTCTCTCAGGATGGAATAATTAGACCATGACAGTTTCTTATTCCTCTTATCCTATGGGGCCAAAATTAAAAATAACACTACACCTTTGAAACAAACTACAGAGCCAAGCAGCTCATGACTCATTTTTACAGAGCCAAAATCCTACAGGAACCCTTTCCTGGACTGGTGGATAATGAACCTAGCAGAAAGAGGCTTACCCAGAGGAAGCATGCAGTTTTTCTTGTACTGTAATGTATTTTGACTCCCCAACTACAAGCTTGAGAGCAGCAGTTTACAAACACACTAAAACTATACAATTGAACAGTTGTGAAGTATCTGGAAGACAACAAACATTTAGCTCCTTCCTCAGCTGCAAGGGCTAGAGCAGAGCAAGCAAACTTGAGTAAGGCAAACCCAGCACACAAGAGCTGCCTGCTATAAATGAAAAAGAAGAACCTACTGCTCTACAGGCTCAGAGCAGGCCCAACTTCAAGAGGCATTAGGGAGAGCCGCTTCCTCTTTCATCTTGCACAGATTCTACCTGCTTTCAAAATCCTTGCTAACCTTTTTTGCAGACTCCGTGACTGGAGCAGCATTTCTGCCTGAAGCCTTCCGGCGTGTTGCCTTGGCTGGCAACTTCACTGCAGCAGAAACTTCTTCAACTTTCTCTTTACGCTCAGAGGTGGTGTATTCTAAAAAACAAAGACAGGCCGTATAAGAACATGATTTAAAAGTGGATTAGGATTTCTATTTGCATTAAAGCCCATCTCCCTAATCCCACCTAAAGCTGTGTAACTCATTTCAAGTTACGCGCCCTTATGCCAACAGCAGTTGGTGGTGATGTTTGTACTAGTTGCCTCACCGCACAGTCCTTCAGCACCAGAGCTCAAAGACTAAACCCATCAGTCAGTCTGCCAGCAGATCTGCAAAACCACCCTGCTTTGGGGAAATATTCCCTGTTTCTGGCAAAGCAGCACAGGGTGCAATTTATCCTCCTCATCCCCTCCATGCATGCATGTACCCTTTGCAGTTTATTAAGTTTATTACGTGCCACTCTTGTCCGGTTGAGAGAAGTTGTTCACTGCCATCTAGAAACCAAAGCTACCCAAGCCTGTTCTTTCCAGCGTTAAAGCAGCAGAGACATGCAACCCCTCAAACGGTATTTCCAAACATCAACAAGCCAGGGCTGTCTAATAATAAGGGGCTGTGTTAGAGATTAAACCATATTAGACAACAGCATTTGTTTGAAGAGAAGAGAATGGCATTTTAGCAGATGAGGGCATAGCTGCTACCACGTTCTTAGAAGCAGATCTGGCCTACTTACTAGGACGTGGGAATCGTTCCTACCAAGAGTTGGTCACATTGCTAAAAGGAGGGATAGGGGAGCAAGAGATCAATTTTGACATTTTTTCAACCGTCTTATGCTCTTGAACCTGAAAAGCACACTAACAGTTCAGCAGCCCCTACCATTAAATAGGGAGCAGCACCATTTGCCAAGCAGTAACTAGGAAGCTCCATGTCTCCCTGTAGAACTTGTGCTAGGAAATGTCATACAGCCTAAAGAGCATCATTTCTGCCTCTTTATCAGCAAAGACGGGAAAGGGGAAACGTCCATCTCAAATCATGACCAATGCAGCTGGCACCCAGAGGCACCAACATGGCTACAGGCAGCTGCATAATTTTGTCCTTAAACACTTTGTGGAGGGGGTATCAGAGAAAGCCTCACCAAAGAAGGCACTTCTCTACCCTGCTCTTCTCTGCCATGCCTAGCCTCTGCTGCATCTCCACCCTTCTTCACTCATCCTTCCTCCATCTTGTCAAAATGCACATGCCAGAATTTTCAGGTTCAGACTAAACTGACTCTTTTGGTTTTTTTCAGCTTCCCTCCCCCCTCACCCAAACCCACCAGCTCACAGACATACCATTTTTTCTCTGCCTGCCATCAGTTTAAACTTCCCTTCCGTCACATCCCAGATTCTAAGTGATTTCTCATAAGACATACAGGTATTTTGAACTGACAGAGGTACATTGTGAATACAGATACAGCTTCGATTTAAAATGCTCTTTCTGCCGACATGCATGGGCTCAGCGCCAGAGAGACCTGGGATACATCTCCTGCTGGCAGTAAAAGTATTGCACCCTGCCACAGTCACCACAGATAGCAGCATGTGCAGGGCTAGGCCCTAGGAGACACCCTCAGGCCATGGGGCTACACAGATGGCCACAAGGAACAAACAGCTTGAAAAGCCACAGTTACAGTAATAATGCTGAAGTACAAAAGCCAGAATTTTCCAAGGTACACAAAACCTAAGAAAAATCAGGTGTATTAAATACTTGCGTAACATGCAATACCTGGTTTTTGCTTTTTGCGTTGAGTCTGGTCAGGATCTTCCACAGGTGGCCGAATGCTGAGGAAAGAACACACAGAACAGTGTTTTGCAACCACAGGTAAGCTTCTACCAGGCTGACTTCCCTCTGCAGGGCCCAAACTTCCAAAGATAGTTTCCATACCCCAAAGGTCTCCCCATCCAAGCACCCTGGGATCATCTCAGACAGATACACACCCAACCGCCACTGCTGAGCATCTCATCAGCACCCCAGACCACTCACGGAGCGCTAAATATCCCACTAAAGCATCTTAGGCCTCTTTTTCTTCCTCTGTTAACGCTTCCTAATGTTTTATGTTTGTTGCCATCACCAAAAAATCACTTAAGTTAATACATAAAGTCTTCCTCTTTCCTCAAGGGAAGAAGCATACCAGAGATTACCAAGGCATCTAAGTTCATAAGTTGCCACACGGAGCTGCAAAGAAAAGGCTAAGTAGGACAGGAAATAAAAGGTGGGAAAGCAACTCATGCATACACCCACTTAAATAACTTACTGCTAAATCAGTACTTGTGAACTAGTTCTTGAAATAATTCTTAGCTGCACCCTTTCTTACGAAGCATAAATCCAAGTAACAGTGATAAAATCCAGTAAATATTTTTACTTTGGGAACAGGGCGCAAAGGTTGCTCCTAGGCTTTGGGTTTTTTTTTTCCTATTTGCCTCCAAAAATGCCATGACAGATGGCAAGGATTCTTTAAAGAATTCCTTGGGCTTCCTTACACAAAATAATTTCTTTTAAACTGTGATGCTCCCAAACCCTGCAGGTATCATTGTTTCTGGGCTATCTTCTGTCCATATCAGGAACACAAAAAGTGCCCAGTATCCTTAACGGCACCTTTCGTACAATATAAAGAATATTTGCTATTACTGTGCTATTAAAGTCAGGCAGAAAATATTGGGGGGTAGGTGTTAAAGTCAAATGCATTCCTATAAAAATGCATTCTTACTCAGCATATTTGATATTTCTGAAGGTAAAACTGAAGAAGACAAAATATTTGTACACTCCTGCTCCATTTTTAGCAAGAGCTAACTAATTCTGAGCTGCTCTTCTGTGAAAACTTTCCAGCATCAGTTTTCTGCAGGACTACAGCACAACTCAACCTCCTCAAGGCTATGTTCTGAGACAAGCACAGTTTAAATACCTGACTGTGGTTAAAACAACTGCTTGTGAACAGAAGCGCCTCTTTCTGCAGCTTTAGCAGAGCACCCAACACCTACGAGAGCATTGTTTTGTCCTTTTTTACTTTACGAACCACTTGGAGGTTCAGAATTAGTTTGATGGCAAGAAAAGATGACTTCTCTCTTGGTAATTCAGAAATAAATCAGGTAATCTTTGACGTTCTGAAGTAGGCATGGCCAGGGAAGACAGATGGGCAAAAGGCGAGGAGAAAACCAAATCTGTGCTTAGCTACCTCTGTCTCCAATGGGAATACACAAGATTAAACTGTGTCACTGCAACTGGGGTTTTGCCAAGGGCCTGGGAGAAACTGGTAAGCACAGAGGGTGTTGAGTAATACTTGAACCACACTGGAAAAAAAATGGGCCAGGAAATAAAAGTAATCTGAGACTGCTCTCCAGGTAAAGATGTGTTCATGCCCTTCTCTATGCTCTAGAGAAGACAGTGCCTATTTACACCCAGCATTTTACTTGCCTCCTTAGTAACTACAGGAAAAAAGATAAGGTATTAGGAAAATGCAGTAACTCTGGATACACCCATATAAGCTCAGGCCTTCTTTTCAAAACTCCTCCCCCACCAGTGTTGAGGACAGTTCATTAAGATCTATAATTTAAATTCGTAAAAAATTCACGTTTTCACAGGTTAACCCCCCCAAAAAAATCACACAGTGTGCTTCGCCAGTGTGGTACAAGAACAGCTAATGCTTATCTACTTTCCCCATCACCACCCACACCCATAATTTTTCATCTTTTTACCACGGGAAAGTCTCAAGTGGCAGAAATAACAACCACCCCATGGTTTAGATTTCCTTGAAGAGATTCACACAGCGGAGCCAGGAGCATCTTTGCCATTTCACAGCTGATCTCAGAGAGCATGGCTTCTGAAGCCAGCTAACGCGGTTTCACTTGAATCTCACCCTCGTTGCTTCGCCTGTCATTCCCAGTCATCTCTTAGCAAAACCGGGTCTCCTGGTCAGGCCGTGACACGACAGCCTGCAGTGTCTACAAAGGCGCGTTCTTCAGTTTGGGGTTGTGCTCCGCACAGCAGCTGCGAACAGCTACTTGTGCAACAACCGGCTCCTCCCAGAAGACGTTTGCTTTTCCCATTCACTCTGGAACACGAGACACTACGCAGAGCCTTCCTGGAGCAACGGTTTCTCCTGGACGGAGCGATCACACTCCCCAAAATGTGGCATGTGATCCATACATTCCTTCTTTTCAGAGAGACAGAAGCTGACAGGCGTGGGGATGGCTTAGCCATCTGACACTGGGAGCTCTGGGGCACCGGGGACGGTTAACGCCTGGGAAGGCATCCCCCTTTCTTCCCCTCCAGGTCCATACCATATCCCCATGCTGTTTCCTCCATCCAGTACATCCCTATATGTAGATATACTGCTCTCCGCTCCTCCAGCACACGTATTCCAAGTCTCCACCCCTTTTCTTCCCTTGTCAACCCCCCCCACTATGCAGATGGAAAGCGAAGGAGGGGGCGGGCTTGCCAAGGGATTTATCGGGTACATCTGGAACCCGCAATCACCTCAGCATCACACGTGAACAACCGGGACCGTGGGCCCAGGGTGACCCGACAGCAGCGGGAGCCATGGCCAACAGCCGGGCCAGAAGGAGGAGCGCAGCCTGCTACGCTTCACCCGCTCCCCAGCCGAAGCGGGAAAGGGCGGCACGGATCCCCCCGGGAGCTCAGCACCAGCCCCAGCGCCTGGG